TCTCTGTAGAACAAAAGAAACACTTTTTATACTTCAGGTTTTACATACAGGAGACAACAATAAACAACACGTGTGCTGGTATATGTTAGTTGTTTTGCACAATAAGTGCTACAAACACACTGTTATAAATATGATTGTTTTCTTTATAAAAACAGATAAATTTACAGGTCCTGATGATTACGACGCTCCGTTTCCTGCAGAGGAAGGAGACGCAGGGATGTCAGCAGGCAGACCCAAAGGTACAAAAACATCTGAATTCCTGCTGTTTTTATTATAAATATGAGGGTTTTTTTTTTCTTTAACTGGGTCTTTTTTCTCAGGCGTAGGTGTCGGGACCCCCAGTCCAGGACCTGGTTGGGTTTTAAACCTGGATCAGGGCAGTAATCTGATGGATCCCAAACCTTCTGTGGAGATCAAGGAGCGGACTTTGCTCGACCTTCACCGAGACCCGACGGACAGAGTCCTCTTTGAGTCCTACACCTCCACAGGTGTCGTTTTAAAACTTTTCATAAATAAAAAGTAATTAAAAAACTCTCTCAGTCGTCGTCATGTTTCTGTTTCATTTTCCAGGAATCTCCTCTTCTTTGCTCCGATTCAAACCTTTCAGTCTGAGRCCAAAGACTCGATACTTGTTGGAGGTCACTGCCAGTGTGTATAAAACTTTAACAGACATGAAACACCAACAGTTTATTTAATGTTCTTGTTAACATAAGAAAATAAAACTAGACGATGTTACTGATGTYCTGCCCGATGATCTCAGGGTCTCGGCAGGAGTTTCTGGGCCGGACTCAGCTGTTTCTAAAAACCAACCCTGTGCCTGAAGGCGTGACGTGTCAGGTGCAGCCAGCGGAGGGGGCGGAGTTACGCACACACTTCAGCGTCTTCTGCATGTCAGGACACCAGGTGTGCTCAAATCAGCTTTTAACGCAAGAAAAATCACATTTTTAATGCCCGTTCATGTTGTTTGTGCTTATATTTGTGGTCCTATATGCGATTAAGGACTTGCTGTACAAGTACAGCTTCAGCGTCAGAGGCAGCCCCCCCAGGGTCCTGTACCAGGGCAGAGACTTCCWGTACTACTTCAGCCTTCCCTCAGGGGACCCCAGTGATGATTATAAAGGTAAAACACAGAAAACTACGTCACTTGTTGTAGAACAAGATAAGCAGTAGAAGATGCAGCTGAAMTGTTTCTTATTTTTGAATAAATAAATCTGTTTCTTGTTTTCTTACAGTAACGATTCACATTGAAATTAGAAGCGGCAGGTATGGATCCGGCACCAAACCCTGTCCTGTTACCGTTCGAGTCAAACCGAGCTTCTTCACAGACGACTCGTCTTCCTCACCTCGTCCTGATTCAGATATGAAGCTGTAAGAAAACATCACAGTGAACTCAAATAGTAATAACTAAAAACTGTTTGGGATAATTGTTGTGGTTCTGAAAAAAAAACCTGTTAGATATAAAACTTTTATGTATTTATATATAAAGGGTGCAACGAGACAGAAAATTCACAATTCGGTTCAATATATTTACGATAAAAAAGTCAAGTTTCCATGCTCTTCTTAACTTGTAATTTATTGAAATTAGCTATAAATATTTGTTTAATCTCAAAAGTACAGTTTTTAAATTGAATGTTGCTGAAACAGCAGGTTTCTCAGTGGATCTGTGCTCGACGGTGCAGCCTTGGAGGAGTAGTCGAACACAGATCCACTGATCCTTCAATCTTCAGAAGACAAGTTGATAAAATCAATTTTAAAAATCTATAATGTTCGATACATAGTGTGTATTCAACCTAAAGCAGTGTATTGAATAATTCATTACAGATAATTAAA